CCATCCATACATACATACATCCATCATCCATCCATCCATCCATCCATCCATCCATCCATACATACATACATCCATCATCCATCCATCCATCCATCCATCCATCCATCCATACATACATACATCCATCATCCATCCATCCATCCATCCATACATACATACATCCTAGGTTAATAATCTTTAATAATCTAACTTGTAAATTTGACTCAAATCCTCACATAAACAAGTCATCCTGTCTCTAACATCCAAACAGGAAGTATAAATGTTTGATTTATTGGATGTTTAATGTGTTTTAAAGCTCACTGTGTGTTTACTGCAGGAGGATGTGCTCAGGTTTGTTCTGCTGCGTCACACGTTCTGTCACCATCTGCTGCAAGTCCAGGTTCACCAGCTTTACACCCAAGAAAAGGTGCAAATTACATCCATTCAGGACCAGACCAGGGCGCGAGTCTGATGACATCATCGACGGCTGGCAGGTGACGAGTGGGAACAATAATAAGAGAAAATTTAAAATGATGTTTAATTAAAGGATTTTTGTTCCAACCTTCATTATTTATTGACAGGATCTGTTTTATGTTGTTTTTGATCCTTGTTTTTATTTGTGTTTATTTTATTTTTCAGTGTTTGAGTCCCGTGCCACTCTTCTTCATCTCAGTTTTCCTAAGTTTGGCCACGCCCCCACTCACCTGTTCTCCATCAGCATTCATCTCAGGTGTCTCCTCTTCCTCATCATTCACACCGGCCCAGTTTCCTTCTGATCTTCTTGTCTTTATGTGAGTTTTTGTTTTTTTTATAATGAAATGTTTGTTTTTGAGCTCAGAATTTAACCTCCTGCCTGCTGTGATACAGTGTTTTATAAAGTACCACAAAGTGATACTTGAGTAAAAGTACAAGTATCTTACCAAAGAATGACTTTGGTAAAAGTTAAAGTCTTCTTTGGGAATATTACCTGAGTAATACTTGAGTATTATTTCAGGTTTCTTATATAAAAATGTGTTTTCTTTGATGTTTTGTATTCGATGGATAGCCATGTCACAGGCACTTTAAGTACAGTAACAAAGTATTTGTACTTAGTTACTTTACAACTCCGCATTTATAAAAGTATTTAAATTATATTTTAAAGTCCCTCTGACATGCAGATCATTCAAATACAAAAAGTCAAAGAAAAAATCTTTATATTTAAGAGACTTTGCATAAAACACATKATTTCACCCATTTTGTTACAGAACTGGTATATTTTCTTTTGGGCGTGGCTCAAAGTGAAACAGGAAGTGACATCAAAGGGGAACTCTTTCAGAAAGAAAGCTCCTTGGTCTTTGCTTATTGACACATCATCTGAATTCTGACTTCTTCATCTCTCTGACAGTGACCCAAAATAATCTGAAGAAACATCAGATTATTCTCTACCTTCTGTTATCAGTTATTGTTTCCACGCAGACACTCCCCTTTGACATCACTTCCTGTTTCTTCACATGCAAATATCTCAACAACTGTTCATCTCAGTGAGGTGATTTTTTTTTCTGCAATATTTTATCATTGTTGTCTTTCCAAATTTGCATTCACGTCTGTTAGAAAAAAATAATGTCACAGGCACTTTAAGGTTTGGTCACAAAAAGTCAGCAGGTTTAGCATTTTTATTGGTTCTCAGGATTTTATTATTACTATAATTTCCTCCAAAATAAAACGCTAAAGATGTTTTTACTTTTAAACCTAAAAGTTTTATTTATTTGTTTCTGTTTCCAAACAAGGAAATAAAACTTTTTTGGAAAGGTTAAATTCACGTAAGGAATCTGGATGAAAATCACTTGTTTGGATATTTTCAGTAAAATCTGTTCCAGGAGATATTTTGCTAACAGACAGGGTTGATGCTGTGTGGGGGATGACTGATTTTAGATGATTATCCGTAACAGTGACTCAGTTTGAGTCATCTTCTTCTCGCTGGTTAATGTGGACGTGGCCGCGGCGGCCATCTTGAACAGGGCGAACCTCACCATCAATCAGTCGCCTCTTGTTCGAGGAAGTTTTTTCGTGTCGAGGCGGCGTGCGGCCGTGTCCGCATGACCTCGTGGCTGATTGCTGTTCCTGCCGTCAGCCGGTCAGGATGGACTGTGTTAGTGRAACGGATCGAATGTCGGCACTCAGACCTGTTTATCTGAAGGACACGCCGGGGAAGAAAAGACAATCTGTTCCACAACTAATGACTCCTTGATTTAAGGGACACAGAGTTCAGTCTTTTCCACACAGATGAACAGAATTACAGGCAGACTGTCGACGCGGTGAATATATGTGAGGAAAGCTGATTAGATGATGGTTCGCTCTGGTAACACTCATAAGTCAGAGGTGAGCCTGAGCGAAAAGTGAAAAGTAATACTGTAGGTTTCCCTCGTGTCGTGCCCTCTGCAGAACTGCTGCAGATGTTGGAAAGAAATTACTTCTTCTGAGAAAATGTAGCACTGAGCGGCTGCTAAAGCAGCTAAAACTGAGCTGTTAACGCTAAAAGATAAGGCAGAAGACAAGCTTTAACGTGAAGGAGGTAAAACATAAAAGCTAAATGTGACAAAAGGCTAGCTCAAAGCTAAAAGTCACCAAAGATAGCAAAGAGCTGCTGGAAGCTAAACACTTACTGGAAGTAAAATGATCACAGAAAGCTAAAAGTAGCAAAATATTAGCTAACGCAAGCTGTAAGTTACATTTAGCAAAAGGTTGGCTAAAAGCTAAACATAGCAAATCATTATCTAGGACCTGAAAGTAGCTAAACACTTGTTAGAAGTAAAATGAAAAACTAAGAGCAAAAAAAAAAGGGCAAAATATTAACTAAATATAGAAAGATTTGAGCTAACAGCTAAAAATAGCAAAAGGCTAAATAAATGTAATGCTAAACACTTTCTAGAACAAAAATAACTAAAAGCCAAAGGTAGGAAAATGCTAGTTAAAAGTTAAAATTAACAMATCTGTAGCTAAACACAAAGTAGCAAAAGGTTGGCTGAAAGCTACACATAGCAAATTGTTAGCTAGGAGCTGAAAGTAGCTAAAMACTTGCTAGAAGTAAAGTGATAAAAGCCAAACGTAGGAAAATGCTTGCTAAAAGCTAAACTTAGAAAAATAATAGCTAGGCACTAAAAACTGCAAATGGAAAGATAAATGTAGCAAAATTACCTAAAAACTAAGAGTAAAAAAACAGCTGACTGACAGCCAAAAGTAGCTAAAAGCTAGGCGTACCCAATCAATAAGCATTAAAATTAGCACARGGATAGATGAAAGTAGCAAAAACCTAAAAAACAAAAAGAAACAAATTGTTAATTTAAAGTCAAATATTTTTAAAGAATAGCTAAAGTATCAAACTGATTAGCTTGAAGCTAAAAATAGCCAAAGGTTAGCTAAAAGCTAGAGCAGATGTATTTTAATAAAACTCAGACATACTTTGATAACTTAACTTTTGGATTTGACCCAAGATGGCCAAAGCAGCAAACATTAAGTACTGCAACTCGGTCAGTTTTACAGACGAGCTAAAATCTGGTGTGGTAGTAGCTGAGAGTCATCCTCAACAGATACTCAAACAAATGTTTTAATTGTGTGTGTTTGTGTGTGTGTGGGGTGGGGGGGGGATTATTTCTGATTATGGTCATTGCCCCCCGGTCCTCCCTTCRTGGCGCCCCTGCTCCTGAGCTAATATGACTGTAGTTTAAAGGTCCTGCAGGCTGACAGCAGCTCCATCTTCAAATCAAACATCTTCCTGGTTTCAGGATCTTCATGCAGAACAGAAACAGGTAAACTCTGACCAGTGATGTCTCTTTTTCCCCTCAGTGGGAGTCTTTCCTCGCACGATCCTGGTGTTCGTCTCCGCCCCCTAAACCGAGGCAATAAATGTCATTAATTAGTCTGATAAATTACATCCAAAACAATGACACGTTGAAATGGTTCCATTTAGCTCCAATCCAAATGAGATATTTCATCAAAAGCGAGTGTTTCTCCCTTTCAGGCCCTTTAAAAAGGCTCGCCGCCTTCCTGAAAGTATTTTAAAGGTTACGATTTCCTCAGATGATAACGCCGTACCTTTTAATGAAATTCTAATTAGTAATTTCATGGACTTTGTTAGCAGCCGTATCTGATTAGTGCACATTTTCACAGCCTACTTTAATGAAGCACAGTTTCATACGTGAAGGCGGAGCTCTCAGAAAAACACACATTAAAAAAAAACTTTCTTTGGAAACAACAATGTTTTCTTTGTTTCAGTAAATATGAAGAGTTTTTTCTTTTCTTCTGGTTGAAGAAACGATTTTTCCTTCAAGTCTTTGAACATAAAACGACAGGAAGTTTCTCCACGAATTCAGCTTCATTTGATAACAAATCAATTAAACTCCTGCTGTTTGTTGTTTTATTGGACCTTAAAGAGATGATTCAGACATTTTGAAGTTTATGAGCAGTAATCATCATACCTGTTGTAGATAGCTCTTTGATCTAAACTGTGAATCAGTTCATGAGRACATTTTAACCTTTACACCGCAGGTCATTTTAAATTCTGTAGTTTTTTTATACAAAACTCTGATTGTTTCAGTTCATATAGCAGCAGCTAGCTGTAGCAGCTAGCTTTGGCTTTTCCTGACAAATTCAAATTATTACTGATGAACTAACCATTAGGTTTTAAATATTAAATATTAGTGTTTACATGAACCACTAATGTTTTAAGATTTGGGTTGTTTTAAAATAATTTTTTCTTCTTTAATAAAGCTAATATAAAAAAATATAAAGCTAAAATTTCTAATTCATGATGATTATTTTTGCTTTCTTTTCTTTTCCTTTCCTTTTCGTTTTGTTTTTGTTTTGTTTTTCTTTTCTTTTCTTTTCTTTTGTTTTACGACACTTTCAAGCTTTACAATTTCCCAGCTGTTCATGCAAACATTATTTAAACATTAATATTTCAGTTGCTTCAGAAGAAATGTGAAACGTTAGCTGAAAAGGTCACGAGGCTAGCCAGAAGTGCTACAGCTAGCTGCTGCTGAAAGTAACCACAGATGAAGTAACAAAAAAAAACATGTTTAATTTAAAAATTTGGAAATATTTAAAATGTTTGTTTTAAACTGACAAAAATCCATTTTGSTCTCGATTTTTTTAGGCTAGCCGTTAGCTACTAGCTTGTTGATCTGGTTAGCATTAGCTCTCTTGCTACGAAGTTTTAGCTCCTGGTTCATTCTGTCCTTAAATCAGCAGGAGGGTTAAATTCTGCTTCTGTTTCAAATCTTTTTTYTGAAGTGAACTCCGGCAGATTAAAAATAATCTGAGGGCAGCTGAGGTAATGTGGGCGGGGTTATGAAAMAATGTGCGCGGCCAAGACTGCAGCGTTACGAGCTTTGTCTGCAAAAGGCTGGGATTTTCAAAAATGTCTCTTTAGCAGTGTTCCCATCAATGTTTTTTATTCACAATTTTAAGTATCGTGTTAGAAAAGCGGGATGGAAACTCCAAAATTTGCAAAAACTTCCTCAATTTTGGAAAAATGCTTATTTGTTTTTTCACGTTTGTTTTGGGATTTTCTTATTGCGCAAAAGGGGGAGATGGAAATGCATTTGCTGAGTAAGTTCTGACCTATCGAACATTTACCTCGATGAGCTGTTCCTGCTGCAGCTGGCCCCTCCCCCTGCTTCTGGCGTCTTCCTGGATATTTTCGTAGAGTTTTCTACGTCTCCAGTTTGCAGGAACACCAACACCAGCTGATATGACAGAATAATTACAGCTTTCCTGATAGCAGATAAGCAACACGTTCCTTATAACTTCTATC